GCATATATACTGACATGCATGATATGATATGGTGTAACGAAGTGCATCATCGTAAGTGTTCCCAATAGCATTGCATTAAGGTGACAACAAGATAAATTTTCTTTTACTGAGTAGGTGTATATCTCTTCTCTAGTAATTAAACAAATTCTCATCTAAGCAATTTTCTGGACTGCAAGACAACAGCCACTTGTTTTGACCATAACTGGAGTTATACACATCTAAATAACATGGTTGTGGACTTTCTAGAAAGCTTATAAAATTCCTACAACTTTCTTTTAATCATCTTAAGGTGATTCAGTAGTTATTTAGGCCAAACAATTCTATGTTTTAGATCTGTCCAGAGAACAAGTATTTCTGACATCAGACTTCTAACTGCTATAATTCTCAAACCATAAGGCCTATGACTATAAAAATTTAACACAAGGTAGATAAATAAGTTATCTACAGCTTTGTTATTAACAAGTTTCACACAAAAGATCATTATCATCATGAATTTACCACCACAACAGAAACTATACATGCAGCCATCTAGTTGAATTATAAAGCAATAATTAACTAGCTGCCTATAACCAATTACTTCTAAGCCTAACTAATAGCACCAACAGATCATATGCACCATAAGAATCATAGAAAACATTATGGTTATACCTAACTAATTTATTTATATTCATTTATCAATTTTCCCATATAATAAGGTGATTTAAAGGATAAATATTTTCATTGCTCAATAAATTCTAAGAAAATTACAGTAGCCTACAAATGACCCTAGTAGTCTATTGTACAATTTTTGTGTCATTTGGATAAGCATAGCCACATCTACAAAAATGACAATCTACATGTGCTTAGTTTAGCAGAAATAGTTTAGCATAATGAAAAGTGTTAAGCAATAGATTTAATATTTTTCTTAGTGTCCTCCTAGCACAAAAATATTGTATAAAAATTTGCATGATCATATGTTATGTATTTTTACCCCATTTCATTTCACTAGAAACTAGCAATTAATTAGGATTAAATATTATGACCATATTTCAAGTTTGTCTACTATAGGTTTAGTATTTTTCCTAGCTATAGCATATTAGCACAAGACCAGCAAAATTTGAATCACAAGTTTATCATCTTGCTAGCTCAAGTTATGCATTTTACAAGATATAACCTAATTTAAAAGCACTTATCTTGCTCAATTTAATTCCCCTAGAACAATACCCTAAACAGTATATTTCAAATTTTTATCAAATATTACACTTCAATATAAATCCAACAAAATTTAGTTCACCCCATTTGGATACTCCTAGCTCTATATATGAATTTTTGAAGTTTGTATTCAAATCAGTGAAAATAATTCAAAAAACAACTAAACCCTAAATTCTATGTACACCCGGTCTATACACCCTCAGGCGCTGACATGCGGGTCCCGTAGTCAACTCAGCCCCACTCGTCAGTGGAACCAGAGTAGATCGCCAGCTTAACCAGCAGCGAACTTGCCGATGGCGAGGTCTCTGGCGGCGCGGTCGACACTAACGTGTTCCCCATCTCATTCCACATCCAGCGAGCTAGATGGTCAAACCTCTAACGATGGTTGTCTACGGTGGCGGTGCTAATGGAGGACGGTGATGCTGCGCTACGGCGGGCTCATCGTCTCCGGCGATGGCATGCCAGGGTGAGCACTACTGCGGCTTCAAGGCTACCTGGTGAGGATGTAGGGTTGGGTTAGGGCGACAGTGGAGTGATGGTAAGGTTTGGCCACGTGCATGGCATGGTGGTGGCGAGAGCACGACGGTGAGCAATCGCGTTCTGGCACCGATATGCTGGCTTTGGCTCAATGGCTAGCGGGGCGAGTTAGACGTGACCCTAGGCTAACCCTAATGAGAGAAGCGCGTGAGTGAGACTGCACGGTGGAGCATGACCATGGCGAATGCGAGCTCGGCGATGCTCCGACGATGGCCACGGCGAGGGCGACACGACCTGAGGCTATACCTAGGCTCGAAAGGTGGTAATGGTGAGTTGGTGAGGTGGAGCGAGGTACAACGAAGCTGTGGGTGCGAGGAATCGAGAAATGGCATGGCGGTGGCGGCGCGCGAGCACGGCGGAGGTCGGCGGCGATGGCGTGGCGCTCGGCTTTGCTCAGGTGTGGCGAGAGTGAGAGCGAGGCGAGGCAGAGAGAGTGAGCGCGACAGAGTGAGCGAGCACAACGCAGTGCCATTTTCTGCTCGCTCCGGCCTGACCGGTTGGTCCATCACCGGCGGACGGCCTCCACACGGCGGATACGGCCTAGCGTCGGTCAGCCACGACGGCGCGCGGCGCTCCGTTTAAATTCGGCCATCAGGCCGACTTACAGCGCGACTTCACGCACCTGTAACTCCTAATCCATGGCGAATCAGTGCAAACTTCGTTAATAGAATTTGTAGAGCTATGTGAGTACTACAACTTTGCTTTATGGAGCATGGTCTAATTCAGGCTGGTTTTCAAACTACAATGCTCCAAAGTAGGCTACTTTGAAACTGAAAACCAGTTCCACACTTAGAAAAAATTTCTAAGTTACGAACAGCATTAAGTTGAAACTTATTAGCCCTATTTGACTAAGTTAGGTACTTAGTTAGCTCATGACCCTTAAATAAAGTTTGTTGCTCATGACAAGAACTACAACTTTTATTTAGGTCACACAACCATGCAAGCTCTCTAAGCTACTGTTCAACTTTGGTCAAACTAGCATCATGAAAATGGCATTCCAATGTAACCCAACACTTAGAAGCAAAATTGGTTCATGTCATAAATACAAAAGTTGTTCCATTTACCATCCTAGATGTATTTAAGGTATTGTTGTGATCTCTCAACCAACTTTTGCATTGGTCACACATGATCACAAGCATATACATATATATAATCAACATCACATGTGATAATATATAAAGAATGAGATGAAATTTCATATGCTCATGCTCATGAGTGAATGGATGATGCTTGTGCTCATGCAATGCAAGTGCCAAATGCAATGCTTGGCACTGGGGTGTTACACCAGCCATGACCCGTGCACCAACATCAGGAGGATCGGAGAAACGGGAGAAGGGAGAAATGGGGGCGATGGGAGAAGTGAGGAGACACTCTAGCTGCTGTTATATATATAAGCCCGATAGAAGGATTTGATACTAGCTTTGCTGGGCCTCTATGTATATTACTGAAGGCGGGCCTTTTAAGAGGTCCGCCTCCAAAAATAGAGGTCATTTTTGGAGGCGTACATCATAAAAGGCCTGCCTCTGTAAATCGATTTTAGAAGGTGGGCAATTGTGAGCGCCTCCGTAAATAAAATGATCGCCACCATAAATCCATTTTAGGAGGCGGGCAATTCTGACCTCTGTAAAAAAAATGATCGCCTCCGAAATTCCTCAAGTATTTTAGCTGACGTTTGCATTCTATGACCGCCTCCGTTAATATTTTGGGCAGTGTCACATGAAATCATTTTTTAGTAGGGAACAATATAAGTTGGCTAGAATAATAATAACTTTGTGTTCCATCCCTACGTATCTTGTGGCTTTATGCCAATGGTGCCATGATTCCTGAATCCCAGCAGGGGAATTCCTCAGCAAAAGTCCCAATTTAGTCCATATGGGGATTGAAACGGAGATAAAATAGGCTTTGTTGGATTTATTGTGGATGAAGGATGGGGAACCATGTCCTATCCCCGTTCCCTGCATACCCACCCTGCGAAGCACTCTTACTCTAGTGGCTATCACTACCACAATCCCGATTTGCCTTGAGTGTCAAAAACCGTCAAGGAAACGGATAAAACCGCCAAGGAAATGATCCTTGGCCATGAACCGTCAAGCAAACACACTCAAGAATAGAAGACAAGGGAAATTAGTTACCTTGGCGGTTTTGGCACTCAAGGATGATTTCCTTGGAGGCTGGCCGTCAAGGAAACTATGACCAGACTTAATTTGCTAAAGGGCCAAGAAAATGTTCCTTGGCAGTTTGATTATGGCCCTCAAGGAAATTCCTAGCACTCAAGGTAATTCCAGTTTCCTATAGTGTATGCAATTTAGTGTGTGGATATATTATTTTAATAAATAACATCTTTGTACGGATCTATTGTTTTCATATATATATATATATATATATATATATATATATATATATATATATATATATATATATATTTGTTGTTGGTCTGTATATATTGGTTATTTTGTGAGATGTTTACACGAAGATGGGGAGTCTCTGCCGGGATTAATACCTCGGCGGGAACAGGGATGGGAAAGAAGTAATTCCTGATGGCATTCGCGGCTTTGGGGACGTAACAGGAATATATTCCCCATTAACTATCTCTAGTTTTGGATCCATCCTCTTATGTGCATTGTTACCCTATAAAAATAAACTGATGAAAATACACCCAAGCCAATTTCGGTCGGTTAAATATGAGGTACCATATGCTGGATAGCCGGTGCAAGCCAAGTTTACTTCCAAAATAGGCTTAATTAGCCAACAAATATCTGAATGGTATGTCGATTGGATGCCAAAGGACCTTAGCCGGACTGGTTAGATGGCTCCGGCGCCATTCTCAGGTCCTGAGTTCGATTCTCCACGAGGATAAATTTCTGGCTTGAGGGTAAAAAAAATGTCATACTCTGTCCCGCACCAAAGTACAGGTATATGACCATTCATTTTCTTAATACCGGTGGGGATGTCACTCCCCCTCGGCTTCAGTTTTTAGTATGTCGATCGGATGCAGAGGCTCTATACCGGTGTTCACGTGGCTCTATACCCATCCTCTGCTAAGGCTAAAATAAAGATGATATGATCTCGACACAATGTGTACCTATCTTTCTATAGATAAACAAAGGAAAACTACAGAAGCACGAAGACACCATTTAGTCTAAATCAAATTATATATTATTCACTTCAAAATACCGAGCACATGCGCAATACAAAAGTTTGACAATGTAGCGTACAATTAAGCATAATTAGAAATCAAGAGGCTGTAGGTCTATGAATAGGTCGTCGTTGCCTCAGCTGCATCGTGCGCTCTGGGCAAAGGCGCTGACAGGGAATGGCTGGGTAGACTTTTCTAGCTGAATGTTGAGCTGGTCACCAGCACGGCTGACCTGGTTGATCCCGAGCCACGCAAACTCCACCTGAATTCTCACGCCAGACACACGGCTGATGGACCCGGACTTGATGGTGCCGCTGACGGTGCTCTCAAACCGGAACTTGAATTGCTTTCCAGCGACCGTGACAAAAAAGTTGCACTCGCCGGGGAGCGTCACCTGAAAAGCGCCACCTGGGTGGAGCACGTAAGACTTCACACCAAGTGGTAGAAGACCCCTTGGCAAGTTGTTCTGCTCCAGGACATCGTATGCTGCTTTGGCCGCATCGTCCCCGGTCAAGTTGGCCGAGGCGGTTGCTGTGGAGGAGACGGCTTGCAGGATGGAAGCAGCCATGATTGCAACGACAACGAGGACAATCTGGCGGTGGCACATGACTGCTATTTTTTTTTTTTGTGTCTCAGGCTTGTGGATATGGTATAAGCACAAGTGTAATCTATATATATGGATGAAAACGGTACGGATATTTATTCGACCGAACAAATATGAACACTTATCTGGATAGTTACTCGGATATCCGGTTTTTTTTTTCGGATACGGATACTAAAACGGATATCTTAGGCGGATATCAAATACGGATGTAATATCATCGATATCCGGCGGATATCGGATAATCCGGATAAGTATCGGATATATCCGGATATTTAAAAACGGATATTATCCGGATATTTATTCAAAATTTAAAACTCACAAATTTGAACCATCCAAACTATCTCAAATGGAAAGTTGACCAAAACAACAATTGTAGATCTTGATGAGTTGAACAAACTTGGTATTCAAAACTTTTCAATTTGAAGTCATTTAGAGTTCATAATACTAGAGTCAAAGTGTTGTTTTTTCATTTGACCAAATTTGACTTGATCAAACTTGCTCAAATGAGACACTAAATGACCTCAGATGAAAAAACTCTGAATACCAAGTTTGATCATCTCAGCAAGATCTACAATTGTTACATAGCTCATTTTTCCATTTGAGAAAGTTTTATCAAACACTAGTGATAAATTCTTGAATCTCATATAGACTTTCTGAAACTGTCACACACTTGTGAAATTTGAACTATATTTTGTTCAAACTTTCTCAAATGAAAAAATGACCTATATAAGGATTGTATATCTTGATGAGATGAACAAATTTGGTATTCAAAACTTTTCAATTTGAGACAATCTAGGGTTCCGAAAACTAGTTTGTAAACGTCGAAATTTAAAAATCACAAATTTGAACCGTCCAAACTATCTCAAATGGAAAGTTGACCAAAACAAAAATTGTAGATCTTGATGAGTTGAACAAACCTGGTATTCAAAACTTTTCAATTTGAAGTCATTTAGAGTTCATAATACTAGAGTCAAAGTGTTGTTTTTTCATTTGACCAAATTTGACTTGGTCAAACTTGCTCAAATGAGACACTAAATGACCTCAGATGAAAAAACTCTGAATACCAAGTTTGATCATCTCAGCAAGATCTACAATTATTACATAGCTCATTTTCCCATTTGAGAAAGTTTTATCAAACACTAGTCACAAATTCTTGAATCTCATATAGACTTTCTGAAACTATGTCACACACTTGTGAAATTTAAACTACATTTTGTTCAAACTTTCTCAAATGAAAAAATAGCCTATATAAGGATTGTAGATCTTGATGAGCTGAACAAACTTGGTATTCAAAACTTTTCAATTTGAGACAATTTAGGGTTCCGAAAACTAGTTTGTAAACATCAAAATTTAAAAATCACAAATTTGAACTGTCCAAACTATCTCAAATAGAAAGTTGACCAAAACAAGAATTGTAGATCTTGATGAGTTGAACAAACTTGGTATTCAAAACTTTTCAATTTGAAGTCATTTAGAGTTCATAATACTAGAGTCAAAGTGTTGTTTTTTCATTTGACCAAATTTGACTTGGTCAAACTTGCTCAAATGAGACACTAAATGACCTCAGATGAAAAAACTCTGAATACCAAGTTTGATCATCTCAGCAAGATATACAATTGTTACATAGCTCATTTTCCCATTTGAGAAAGTTTTATCAAACACTAGTCACAAATTCTTGAATCTCATATAGACTTTCTGAAACTATGTCACACACTTGTGAAATTTAAACTACATTTTGTTCAAACTTTCTCAAATCAAAAAATGAGCCTATATAAGGATTGTAGATCTTGATGAGCTGAACAAACTTGGTATTCAAAACTTTTCAATTTGAGACAATCTAGGGTTCCGAAAACTAGTTTGTAAACATCAAAATTTAAAAATCACAAATTTGAACCATCCAAACTATCTCAAATGGAAAGTTGACCAAAACAAGAATTGTAGATCTTGATGAGTTGAACAAACTTGGTATTCAAAACTTTTCAATTTGAAGTCATTTAGAGTTTATAATACTAGAGTCAAAGTGTTGTTTTTTTATTTGACCAAATTTGACTTGGTCAAACTTGCTCAAATGAGACACTAAATGACCTCAGATGAAAAAACTCTGAATACCAAGTTTGATCATCTCAGCAAGATATACAATTGTTACATAACTCATTTTCCCATTTGAGAAAGTTTTATCAAACACTAGTCACAAATTCTTAAATCTCATACAGACTTTCTAAAACTATGTCACACACTTGTGAAATTTGAACTATATTTTGTTCAAACTTTCTCAAAATGAAAAAATGGCCTATATAAGGATTGTAGATCTTGAATCCATGACCATGACTCCATGAGACCCATGAAGCAATGTGCTTGGCTATTTCTACTCATGCCACGAAGATTGGTGCTTATATGATGTTTGATGTATGATGTATCTGTATCTTTATCTTATTTGTTGCTTTACTCTTTAGTCTTTCGGCTTAATCTAGATGGATTATGGACTCATAGAGTGGTGTAATGATTTGCGCACGTTTGATATATATATATATATATATATGCTGCTTTTACTCAATATCCGAATAGATATTTGTATCCGACCTTCTCCGAATCCGATTCATACCGTATTCGATACTTATTATTCGTATCCGTAACCGAGTCAATCCGTATTCGTATATGTATCCGAACGCTATCCGTGTCCGAATCCGAATCCGAACAGAAATATGAAAACAAATATAATATGAGTGATATCCGTTCGTATCCGATCCGTTTTCATCCCTATCTATATACTACGCTGGCTGGAAAAATGACTGTGGAAAGCAACTGCGTCTCCCTCCAATTTATATAGTAGCTCCACTCGATACCATTAGAATCAGGTGTTAATTACATTTATTTTAGCATTACAGGCAGCCAATAAAACGATCGTGAAATTAAAATGGAATTAGTCCAAATATTCTGTTTTCAATTAATTTCTGCATGCATGGAGCAAGCAATCCAATTAAATAAAAATCAAAATGATGTGAAAAATGAATCCAGGCATTTCGTTTACATTTTTATACTAATAACGGAGCAGACCCACCCAATTAAAAAATAATTACTTGGCATTGATTTTTTAAATTAACTTTTCCATTCAAACATCGATTGAAATTTGTTAGAGAAATACTACATGTTTATAGGAGAATATTGATGCTTATGGGACTTTAGTGATTCAGAAGGGCTATGGACGGATGGCATGTCCGGACGCAGCTCCCAAGCCTCAATAAAAATGGCTTGCCCACGCATCCACACATACAGTAGAAGCAGACGTGGGGACCACAGAGCCTGCTCCGGAGTTTCAAGCGACCGCTTGCACACACAACAACAGCAGCACGGTCGGATGCATACAGCACTAGCAGGCGGCACAGTGACCCACGCAGCAGCATAGCAGCATACTTTTAAAATGGTGACCCACGCCCATGTGCACACACACAGCAGCACACGCGCCCGCCCACATGCATGCAGCACCAGGCGATGCGGCGATCCACGCAGAGCAACATACTTTTGAAACATACAGTGACCCACACACCCAGCAACTCCACATGACTGTAACATGTGCTCCCCGTGATCTACATTGAAAACATTTAAATAAAACACTTGCAACATATATATGAAATAGATGAAACTCTTGAAATATGTGCTTGAAACATGCGTGTATAGCCATAACAACATATGCAACATTCAGATCTACTTTTGTAATATTCAGATGAAACACTCACAACATAAGTCTGACACATCTAAAACACTGGAAACATATGCTGCAAACATACGTGTATAGCTATAGCAACATATGCAACATTCAAATGAAACACTTGAAACATACGTCTAAAACACCTGAAACACTTGAAACATAGGCTTATAGCATGCGTATATTGTCAACATATGCAATATCCCAAATCTACTTTTGTAACATCCTAAATCTACTTTTGTAACATCTAGATAAAACACATGAAACATAAGTCTGAAATGGCTAAAACACTTGAAACGCGACAATGGCGACGGCCACAACCTACCTGGTGAGCAACTATGGTAGCAAGCAAGTTCGGTGGCGGATGGGGCGCGGGCTTGGCCGGCTGGTGCATGGCACAACACAGGTGCCCATGCAGATGGGGTAGGGCCGGCTCAGCTGTCATGGATGTGGCCGAGCGGCCATAGGAGGTGGCTGGTTTGAATGTTGTGCGTGCAGGGGTGGCTCGGAAAGGGGCGTGTCCGCGGGATAGGGTCGTCGCACGGGCCCTAGGCGACGACGACCCTAGGAGAGGCGCCAGTCAGTTGCAGGCACGGGATGGCTTGCACAGGATGGGGTTTGCGGCGCAGCGTGGAATAAGCTGCTGGTGATGACGAGAAGGAGACGCAGGCCAGGACTTCGATAGGACAAGACGTGAGCGAATGGATAAGACTTCGTGTGGGAAGGTATGCAGTGGGTTGCTTAGTGGGATATCGGCCTGCGTTCGATGGGTCTGGACATCATGTAAGTAGCATTACCATTATTGTTTACCCAAATGCACTAAAACATATGAAAATTTCATGCCCTTGTCGATGTTTTCTTGAAACATTTGAAGCTTTTATATAGTGAAATTTTCAGCGACAACAAGCTCATTCAAATTTACCAAGGAACGACAAATATTTATATGGGGTGCTACTACCGTAATCCTTTAACAAGCAATTGAGTTATTTGATTCACTCTTAAGTTTGTCTTTATTTTGTTACAAGAAAATAAGAACTTGCGTTACAACAAACGTCCAACTTGCTACGCAGTCAACTAAGCGACTTATTATAGCTCAAAAATTTATGCAATGGTCGTGTCATTTGTTCTAATACATTTTAGAATCATACTCTGTATTGTGCCTCGATGCATGATACTCTAAATTGTATGGATACAAGAGGCCTATAGATTTATCAATAACAGTGTGTGTTCCAATTCCGTTTCGGTTTGGATTCCATATCATGTTTTAACACCCTCCTGAACTTGTTCCAGCACGGGAGAA